ATAAAAGGTAGCCTGCCCCTCTGAGTGGCCTCAAGTCATTTCTAATTGTTTGATCCCCTAATCATAAGTATGGAGCAAAAACAAAAGGGCTCAGATTATTAGCTTAATTTCTCCTTCCCCTCCCCTCCCCTCCCCTCCCCTCCCCTCTTTCTTTTGCTTGTTCTCTCTTTCCCCGCCTTTCATCACAGCTCTCAGTATCCCAGCTGTGATCTGGGTCTGTTGAATTTTACATCTCTGCCTATTTGCCCTCTGTTGCTGCTCAGTGACACCTGGAAACTCTTGCTATTGCATTCTTTATAGTTGGATTCCATTCAACTATATCTTGAAAGTGGTTCAGAGTCGCTTGGAAAATGGGTCAAATGGTTATACAGCAAGGCTAGAGACCTCAGAGAAGCTAACCAGGTCTGTAACGTCTTATTTGTGATGTTAAGAAGAGTAAATTTGATCTAGAATCGTGCTATCCAATACAATAGGCATTAGCCACAGGTGACCACTGATCACCAGAAATGTGGCTAGTGCCACGTGTTGAACTGATAATATTTTGAATATTTTACATGACATAATGATTAAAATATATTTCACCTATTTCTCTTTTACTTTTTCTTAATGTGGCTTACAATAGATTTCCGTTGGGCAGTCCTCATCTAGAAAGCGCAGGGCAGGGAAGGAGGTTGGGGTTGTAATGTCATGGCCAGTCTGCAGTTCAAACCTGATTGCCCGGTAGTATGTAGAGGACAGACAAGAGAGGAGACAGTCTAAGGGCAAGAAGAGAAATAAAAAACAAAAACAAAACAAACAAACTATTGTGATGGCCCAGGAAAGAAATAATTATTATATTCAGTGTGATAAAAGTAGTACTTTTATGTGATAAAATTGCCCCTTTCTGTATGAACAATAGGAAAGTTAAATGCAGATAAGATAGGTTATCCATAAATGATGCATGTGCCTTTGGTGTGAAAAGCAGATCCCTGGTTCCGTACATGTGTATCACACATCCGTGCTGACCCCTCCTGCTAAACCCACTCTTGACTCTTTTCCAGATCAACTCTAAAGGATCACAGCCTAGGAGCACAGGGCCTCCTGGGCCGTCCCGCCATCGAGTCTCCTGGGCTGGTGGAAAGAAGTTGCCCCTCCCAAAGGAGCTCTGCTGCTTCCCAACTGTGTGTCCTTGGGCAAGTTCATGTCTGTGGGAGATTGAATGCCCAAACTAAGAAAGGATGTAAAGCTGAATAATTAATGCTATAAATTTTTAAGTCTGCTTGTTATTCTAGTCCACAGAGTAAATCATCTCCATGCACAGCAGAGGAGAGATGACTACAGTTATACTCCCTGAGTCTGGGTGAGCTGAATCCTCTCAGAGGGACTGCATGGTTGCCCTGGAGGGTGGGAGGCAACAGCAGCCCCAGAGCATCATGTCCTCTGCTTGGGGCGGGCGGGGGGCGGAGGTCGGCATCCCCAGGCGGCGTGTTCTCCCTCCCGCCGGTGGCCCTGGCAGTAGACTGGACTGGATAAGGGAGTCTCTCTGAAGGTTAAGTAAATGAGACCTTGTTTGGTTCCCATGCTGCTTATCTGGCCAGACAGGTGTCCCGGGACCTCCTCTTTTTCCCTCACCTGGAGTTTGGTGTCACGAGGTGGCCAGAATCCGAGCCTAAACTTATATCAATATTGAACTCCTCTGCAATCAAAGCTATTGGATCCAAAACAAAGCTGTTGGATACAGGTTTGGCGTTTTATGTTTAAATGTCCAAGGTTGCAGGTCCAAAGCTGAGTCAGAGTTGTACAATGCGTGGCTGGGCAGGGATTATTTTTCAATGAGAGTCCGCTTTCAAGGCCATGAGCTTCCTGGGAAAGGACTGCCATGGCGCTGTCACCTTCTACGGGGCCCACCTTCTACGGGGCCCACCTTCTACAGGGCCCACCTTCTACGGGGCCCACCTTCTACAGGGCCCACCTTCTACAGGGCCCACCTTCTACAGGGCCCACCCTCTACAGGGCCCACCTTCTAGCCCGCAACCCCGAGATGTGAGGAATCACAAAGGCTGGTGGGGAGCAGAGTTCTGGTGGGGACTCCAGTCCATCTCCCTGTGGTACGTGAGAGTTTCCTATGTATCCAGCAGATTGAACTGCTTCAATCACACATGCATTGCACCTGGGGCTCAGACAACCTGGGGTAAATTCCACTAAAACTTGAGGTAGCATAAGGCCTCAGATTGCTCGTGAAAACAACAGTCACTATCAGGACTGAACAGGAAAATGCCCATTCAAAATTAAAATTCTACAGAAATGGAATGAAGAATTGAGCAGTTAATTTTTATAATTTGGGAGATGGCCGGAAAATGGATTTTTAAAGTGAAGAATTAGAAAAATATCTGTCAAAATATCAATGTTATACAGAAGTACCACCCAGACCTCATGGTAAAACTTATAGCCCAGGGTTCAATGTCTGGTGCCTGAACTTGCTGAACCCTATAGCTCAGTGGTAAAAATAAGTTCTTGGAAGTAGGAGAAATCATCCTACAATACAGTAACCTTTATTGGTTAAGGGAATGCTAGTTCCTATACCACTGAAATATCAGCGGCTTTAAACAACGGGAATTTATTTCTTGCTCATGTAAAATTCAAAATGGGTCTTCATAATTGATGGCTGGCTTTCTTCTAAGCATGGAACCCTGGCTCCTTCCATCTTGTGGCTCTGCTATCTTCAACATATGGAATTCGTGGTCACCCTACTTTCCTGCATCAAGCCATGCACAGCAAGGCATATGAGGATAATGCATGAGTTTTTTATGAACAGGACTAGGACTGGTGCATATCTATGCACTCACAGCTCATTGGCCAGATGTTGATCATGTGATCCGTCTCCCTGCAAGGGAGATTAGGTAATAAGGTGTAGTTCTATTCCATATAAGAAGGGGCCAACAACCTCTGCCACTTACTCCATAAACAGACAGTCCTAGGTAGCTCATTTGTGGTCTACATGAAACAATAGGGTTGATAAAATTTTACAGCTCAGCTAAAGGGTTCAGCAAGATTGAATTTAGTAGGCATTTATCCAGAGCTCATCCGATAGACTGCTGATCATGTACAATTCTCTTCTTCACTTTTATAACAGTTTGGGAAATTGAATCTTCCTAAAACATTCTAAGATTTGAACCTATTTTAGTTTATAAAATAATTCCCCATGGACTCTAGTCTCTGTCTCAGAATTTGATGACTCTTGGTCCTAATTCTATAGCCTCTATTGAGCAAAGATCACCTGAATTATGGATTCAATGTTGTACTATCTAAAAGGCCAACTGAGAAATTTTGTGTGAATTATTTGGTAAGTCACACAGAATATATTTTACTTCACAGTAAACCAAAAATTGAACATTGGCTCACTGTGAGAGGGTTTGTTTGTTTGCTTGCTTGCTTGTTTTGAGTAGAAAGGGCTTCAGAAAATCACAGTTCTTTACTGTGAGATCATATAGGCAGTTCATACCATAGCAATGTAGCAATAAGTTGTTTTTTATTCGCTTTCCCTCATTTGTTTGTTCATTCATTCAACAAGATTCTGTTAAGGGTCTGGTACATACTACCCATGGAATTCTTTCTTGTGCCTTCCGCCCTGATTTTAACATTTCCCTTGCCCAACTTTCTTCATAGACAAATAATTCTATTGCTTTTTCCCTGGTACCTGTAAACTTTGTCAGGGAACTGAATTATTGGACCATTTTTGACCTACAAATGTGGAGACGTCAAAGGACTCAGTCTGTATCTCTGATGCTGTCACACTGAATGGTACCAATCTCTTAAAATTATGGTATCCCATCACCATCTGTTTAAAATTTATTTTAAGCAATCTATCACCCACTGAAAATATCCCGGTTCTTTTCCATCCAATACTTCTCTTTCAGATTATTTTTTCCAAACCATTTTTTCTGAGTTGAATTTGATTTTTCTGTCTCATTCATAATTTCATTCGATGGTGGGGTCACTGATTTCACCTCTATGCTCTTAGAAGTATCTTCAATTCCTTTTGTCAGCTCATTTATTCTCTTCCCCATGTTATCATGGAGAAATAAGCTAGTTCTATGGACTATTAAATTAAAATATCAAGTGCTTTCCTAAGAGGAATGAACTCTCTTGAAGAATTGCCTCTATTTCACTGTTTTTGAGGGGAAGGCAAGGTTAAACAAAAACTGCCTGAGCTAGTAAGCATTTAGTATTTGTTTTCAAGACCGTTGCTATCAAATCTGTGAAAACAATTTGGTTTCGCACATACCCACATCCCTGCACAGAGACTGTAAATTTAAAAAGAGGCAGGCTGGAGCCTTGACCATCAGGAAGTTATGGTGATTCTGAGCATATAATCAGACTGGGAGAGAATTGCTCATAACTAACCTTTTCCCTTCTTCCCACAAGTCCTGTGGAAAACTTTACCTACTCTATCAATTTTGGTTTATTTATGATTAAAACCAGAAATGCATCCTTGGAACTGCTCAAAAAGATAAGGCTTGCCTATAAAAGGACCTTTAGGTGCTATCTGGTTGTGCGCGGGGCCTGACGGAACTGCCACGGTGAGTCGGGAGCATGTTTTCCAAGCCTAATTTATTAGTATTTCCCTATCTCCCCTCTTCCCCACAAAGGTCTAACTGGACTTGAATTATGCCAATCTTTTGAAAACCAACTGAGCCCAATTCACTCAAAATTTTAACTTTGTTTAGATGCTTCCAATCTGGACACTTTCGCTGCTGCTGGGGACAGTAGTAGGTAAGTCAATATATTTATATAGTGTTCAGTCCTTTCAGGAAGGGCTATGATAGCTGAATTCAAGCCACAATGGGGACAAGGAATAGAGCAAGAAAGGTGCATGGTCAAGAGCACAGGCACCCGGAGGAAGGTTGCCAGATGAAAGCTCAGGCGCCCAGTTAAATTTGAATTTCCGATAAACAACAAATATGTGATCGTTCTCTCTAAAAAAAATATTCATTTTTTATCTGATACTCTAACTTGTCTTTTTAGTGGCTAAATCCAGCAACCCTAGCTTGGGGTCATGTGGGGTTTAAACCCTGGTCCCAGCAGCCACAAGTGTATTTCCCTGAGCAAAACTCTTAACCTCTCTGAGCCTCACTATCATCATCTGTGAAATGGGCATTTCTACCACTCCTCTCATAGGATCACTGTGAGACTTAGGTCACGTAAGTCACGTAAACCATCGTGCCCAGCACCTGGCACATGGTACTACTTTGAGAATGCAGCCCCCACAAGCTACGATTCCTACTCCTACTGTGAATCTAGGCTTTGTCTTCCTCCAAAACCTTCCTTTGTGTTGTTCTTTGGGGTAATATTTAAGCCTAGAGTTGAGTCCAACCATGAATTTTCTGTTTGATGTTTGTGAGGAGCTTCTTCATCACGGAATCCAGGATGCCCCTTTAACAGGGGTCAGGGACCTAAATACTCAGCCACTCACAGATACCAGGTTTGGGCCTTTGCGGGAAATGAGCTCTCTACCCAAAGCCCAAAGCCAGAAGATGGCTACAAGGAGTTGAGAGCCTCACCCCCCTCTACTTAGGCCTGAGGGCACCAATGGCTCGAGAAAGACATCTGAGTTGAGTGGCTAAAGGGGACCCCACACAGCACTGCACAGAGAGATGAAGGGGGTGCGTGGTCCCACATGGTAGAGATGGGGAGCAGCCCCTGTCTTTAGCTTGGGCCTTGTCTATTGACACTGTTTTGTGACTGTGTAGATAGCAAGATGCTTGGGGATGAGGAGGAAGACAATGAGCCACAAAATAGAATTTAACTCATACTGTGCCATAGAGACCATTAAAAAAGAACATTCTGGTTAAACTAATATCCTTGAAACCCTTCTGGGTGATTGCAGGGAAAGAAATCTGCTTCCAAAGGCTTGGCTGCTTCAGCGATGAAGCCCCCTGGGCAGGGATTGTGGAAAGACCCCTCAAAATATTGCCCTGGGGCCCCAAAGAGGTCAACACCCGCTTCCTCCTGTACACCAATGAGAACCCCAACTCCTTTCAGGTACGAGTGCTCGTCGCTTTCAGAGCTCAGTCCCATCTGCTGTATGTGATAAGGACACTGAGTTTTAAGTCTTCTAAAGGGAATATGTCAGTGGAATGTACATCTTTGCAGATTTTTGTGAGCTTCAGTATTATTTTATGTAACTTTGTTTATAGAAGGTCCAGTACCTTGACATTGTTCTCATCCTACCTCTATGGCACCATTTAATAAATCATTTAAATATGGACATACAGGTGTCCCCAAAAATGTGAACACACTTTAACAGCTGAACACTCAACTTTGAAAATGAAATGTATTTTAATAAACATGGCCTTTATAATTATTTAAAATGTGTGTATACATTTTTGAGGATCATATATATATACTCTTCCAACATCTTTTTTAATTTTCACCCAAGGTCATGCTTAGGGAGAGGAAGGGAGGGAGGGAGGAAGGAAGGGGGGGGGAAGAAAGAGAGAGAGAGAGAGAGAGAGAGAATCGAAGCCCCAGCCCACATATGTGCTCTGACCAGGAATTGAACCGGCAACCTTTTGGTTCATGGGACGATGCTTCAACCAACTGAGCCACACCAGCCAGGCTCTTCCAACATATTGTACATATATAAAATCCAGACACACACAAACCCTTTCAGTGCACGGAGGTGAACCCTCTACCACCAATATGTTAGCAGACGTATCCCAAGTTGAACAACTGAAAAAATGTTGTGACTTGGGAAGCAGCGACTTGGTGCTGGTTGCAGACAGCTTGGTTGAAATGGGAGAACCATCACTCACAGGCTCCCACGCCCGGGCAATCTTCTCCTACCGCCTCCCTTTCCTTACAAACAGTTCCGCTGGAGTCTGTGAAAGACTTGACATTAAACACTTTTCTCCCCCAAACAGGAAATCCGTGCAGAGCCATCAACTATCGAGGCCTCCAATTTCAAAACGAATAGGAAAACCCGTTTCATTATTCACGGATTCATAGACAAGGGAGAAGAAGGCTGGCTGGCCAATATGTGCAAGGTGAGACGGGGTCCTCTCTTCAGGGATGATTGTTCGGAGCGATCATCGACCACAGGGAAGGCACAGCCCCAGCCAATCAGGACAAACGCTGGCCATGGTGACACTGGAGGGGCCTCTGGTCCTGCTTGCCTGGGTGTCCAGGGGAGGTCCAGGAGGTGGAGGCGGTGCAGAGGGCCTGGCACCGTCAGGGTGGCAAGATTGGCGGGCATTTGGAGGCTCTGGGTAGCAGTTATCCAATAAAGAATAGGAAGATATTTTAAAATTTAGCAGCACATGTTGCCGTACTGATACAATAGGAGTTGTATTGTCCATAGCTTTAAGTGTTCTCAGTAAGTTTTCATTGCTAGGTGAGGAGCTAATAGAACTTAGTAAGCCCAAAAGAATGATTTCCCCTTGCTACTCTCCTTGCTGATCTCCTACGGTGGCAATATGTAGGAAAACTGTGTACTAGTAGCTTTTCGTTTCCAGCTTCTGTTGTTGCCATGTATTGTGATCCTATCTTCTTTCATTTGTCTTTGGCTATGTGCCCTGTGAAAATGAAGGGTTAAAAAAAGTCAGAAAATCAAATAGAACAAAATTCCCTAGGAATGGCTAGGTAGCTGCTCAAGGAACATTACACAAGAGAATACATTTCTCTAAAAACCCTGGTTCTTCCATTGTGGAAAAGCTTACTCATTTACCTTCAACATAGTTAATATTTAAGGTGATCCTAACACAGCCTTTCATTCATTCATACATTCATTCATTCAATAAGTATTTATTGAGCACCTACATGTGCCAGGAACTTTCAGGGCACTGAAGATACAGCAGCGAACAAGAAAGGCAATGTCCTGCAGTGTGTTCTGGTAAAGAACGATGTAGTCTTACGACATCATGAAGCTCTAATGACACAACCCACTGTACCCCAGTTTATATATTTTTCCCTGAATCAGTTGTCTATGCAACTGTTGCAGTAGAAATCCCAAGAATCCAGTTCCGATTATGGCCAACACTCCAGTTTGGAATCAATGTTAAACTTTAAAAGGGAATCTATATCCATAACTAGAAGTCCATTATGCTCTTGCTTTGGGGTTATCAGCAAGCATGATATTGTTAATCCTAGTCCTCACAAGTATTCACTGGAAAGTGATAAAGATTCTGAATCGCTTACCCATGTATTGTGTCTCTCCCACCAGAACATGTTTCAGGTGGAAAGCGTGAACTGCATTTGCGTGGATTGGAAAAGTGGCTCCAGAACGGGCTACACACAGGCCTCACAGAACATCCGGATTGTGGGGGCAGAGGTGGCCTACTTTGTGGAAGTCCTTCAGGTAACTTGTATGTAAAACCCATGCACATGACCTCTCTGGATTCCCTTCCACAGGACAACAAAAGTGCTGTAGGTGTGATCATTGCTAGAGACATTCTCTGCTGAGGCTGGCTTTCACCTTGGTTGAAAAAAAAAAAAAAAAGTCCAGATTGGGCTGCATCAATATGCCTACTGAGGTTAATCAACTAGTTTTTTTTAAATGTGATATTATTCAAGCAACCAGGCAGACTGTTTCTACTGAATTCCCCCAGTATTTCTCTTAATTGTACCAGTTATTAAACCAAGTTGACATGGTAATGTCAGCCTCAAGAGTAAACTAGTTTTTAAAAAAATGTTTAAGAGAAGCACAGTGATAACAAGCTAACCTGAGTTGTTAACTAAAAACAAAGAAGATGTTAAACTTGAACGTGTCTAAATAATTGCTTTCATTATTATTTTCTGATCCAAATATGTACTTTACTGACCCTGGGTAACCATTCCTCGTGTCCATTAAAAGGTCTCTCTATGTCGGAAAACAGCAAAAGAGAGCCCTACTTCTACCTGTTTAAATCTTAAGCCCATCACCATTTTTTATTATATTTAAATATATATATACCTCAAAATTAATTGCTTTGAATGGGGGAGTATGTCTTCTTAAATCTCCGGTTTTCAGAGGCTCCCCTTCTGTATCCATCTTGAATTCTGCATTCCGAGTTTGAAAACATTCTGACGACATTTTCTTTCCAACAGTCAGCATTTGGGTACTCGCCTTCCGATGTCCACATCATCGGCCACAGCCTGGGTTCCCATGCGGCCGGCGAGGCGGGAAGGAGGACCAATGGGACGGTGGGACGCATCACAGGTTGGTCAAAACAGTATACGCTACACCATTAGATGACATGTAGCCCACATGGTGTCTGAAAGGATGGAAATGTGGTGTTTTTTACCAAAGTAGGAGACAGGTTTTCACATTTTCTGAATTGAGCCACATGATCAGTGTCGGCTGAGCCCTTGTGGATTTTTATGGCTCTGGTCTTCAGCTTACAGAGTTCTGTTTAACATGTAAATATTGCATGGGACTAAAATGTGAATTAAAAGCATGTAGAGGTCTTATTCATATCTATTTTCCCTTTTTGAAGCATTCACAAAGGACAAGTTTCAGAAATAGGATAAACAGCATAAATTATAGATTAAATAATAAATAGAATGAAACCCAAAGAGCTCAAAAATGTATCACAAATTCTATTCTGCTTCAATAGCAATTCATAATGAGCCCAATTGTCATCAACCACAACCCAAGAGCTGAGTGGGGGGCAGGTGGTCCGGTGGCCCTGGGCTACCAGTTCTGCTTGATGCTAATTAAACGATATGATTTTACACATCTCAGGCTCCTTGCATTTGGCCAATGGGGTCCCCTGTTGAATACCCAGGTCCTACAACAAACCTGTATGTTTATAAGAAAGACTTTGTTATCCTGCATCTGAGAGCTTTCTAGAAGCAACTACTGCCCTCTTCTGCCCTCCCCCTCTCAGTTTCTTCTTAGTACTTTGGAGAAGTTGGTTACGTTTGGCTTGGTGGATACATCTGGAATGTCTATTGTTAATTTGCTGGACATTCTTTAATAATTCTTCCCCATAGTCTGTAAATGTGTACAAGAGCCTAGTCAGCTGGGCGCTGTGCAAAGCTGTGGCCCTGGTGCCCTCATGGGAGGCTAGGGTATAGCGGGGCCTGGTTTAGCCTTCAGCAACTTTTAGAGACCAGTGTTTCCCAGAGTCTGGATCTTCCCTTAGAACTTCTGCTAGTGATTAGGGTTATTAGCCTGCAGTCACCCCAATAAATTTAATGTAAAAATAAAATGAAAAAGAACAGTGATGGGGATTGTCTCAGTGACTTAAGTATTCATAAGTGAAGCAAAATCCTATGGTTTGAGGAAAATTCACTTTAATGCGAATAGTAAATGAGACACAGATTTGTCTTCAAGAAATGGTGAGGTAGGAAAGAACTAGCTTAACTCTTTCGTGCCTAACTCGTAATGACCGCCAATGCCTGCACTCAGGTCCATAACGAATGAACACAGGTGAATGCGCAGGTGCGCTGATGGATACTGACGTCACCCGTCCTGTTTTTTTAGGTTTGGACCCAGCTGAACCTTGCTTTGAGGGGACACCTGAATTAGTCCGATTGGACCCCAGTGATGCTCAGTTTGTGGATGTAATTCACACAGACGCTGCCCCCATCATCCCCAACATGGGTGAGTTCCTCCACTGGTCTTCCTAGAATGGTTTTTGAGTCTATACGTTAGTGTGTTTTAGAGGGTTTTCAGTTCATACAATAACATCATCTTTCCCATATTGTGAAATTCCTCAGGATTTGGAATGAGCCAAACTGCGGGACACCTGGATTTCTTTCCGAATGGAGGAAAAGACATGCCCGGATGTCAGAAGAACATTCTCTCTCAGATTGTTGATATTGATGGGATCTGGGAAGGTAAAACCATTGTGTGCATGGCAGGTTTTTCTTGGGGGAGGATTTGTGCTTTGTTTTGCTAAACTTGCTGAATATTTTGACATTGTACAGGACTCATTTTCTATAACCAAGGACTTTGAATTGTATCCCCAAGATTTGGGGTTTTCATTGGGGGAAGTGGCATGAGGAGACACTGTAAGAAAGAAAATGTATTTGTAGTCAACTTTCCAAGGATCAAATTCAGGAAATGCATTGCTAAGTATCAATATGGACCAATCTTTTCCTTCTAAAGTTATTTTTCCATTTTTTTTAAAAAGCAATTTTTCTAGTTGCAAAAATTGCTATTTTTTTTAGCCATGGCCTAACTATTAGCATCTTGAACAGTACTTAACTTCTAATTTCATTACAAATCATAAATACAGTTCATAAATGTTTTTGTCCTGTGACCACCATGAGTTCACACTAATTAGAGAAACCTATTGAACAACTTAACTCCATTCTGATCATGACATTAACTTGCAAGGATAAAAATCTGTCACTGATGTGGAATCATGTCTGATTTCAAAGGCTCTCGTGACTTTGTTGCCTGTAATCACCTGAGAAGCTACAAGTATTACTCCGACAGCATCCTCCACCCTGATGGTTACACTGGCTTCCCCTGTGACTCTTACAGCTCTTTCACCTCAGTGAGTAGACTCCACCTGGGCCCTAAGGGATTTTGTGAGCATCATTTATTGTGGCTGCTGTCATTCACTGTCCCTGACACGCATTCACTGGATGTCATCTATGTCTGCCACATTACCTCATCCTTTAGTTCTACAGATTTTTTTTAATGGCGAACTTTAAGGTACTGGAGAACTTTCAAGAAATGGGCTTGTCTACTAAAATGTCTCGTCTGCCTTGCTCTCTTGCTTCTGCCCTTGTCAGATAAATGCTCAATCTTGTTTTGGAAATAATTCTAGGTTAAAAAAATAGTCTATGAAAATCTGGGTGTGTGGCTACAGGATGCTGATAAACATGGTAACCTTGTCTTAAATGCTGACTTTATAAAACTCTGTAATAACTAGAGGCCCGATGCACGAAATTCGTGCAAGGGGCTCAGTCCTCACAGCCCCGCTGCCTCTGCCAGACCCCAGCAGCAAGCTAACCTACAGGTCGGAGCGTCTGCCCCCTGGTGGTCAGTGTGCATCATAGCGACTGGTTGAGCGGTTGAACGGTCTGACACTTAGCAAATTAGGCTTTTTCTATAGGATAGTCTCAGTCTTGCACATTTCTCAGCCTTTCTCTCCAAGCTGGCAGTGGCCAGGTGATCATGCGGGTGGTGATGGTCAGCATGTATTGGGCAGAGGGAGAACTTGGGGGTCCTCCCTATTGATGGGCCCATGGCAAATGTCTGCTGGTGAATTCTGGGGACATCCACTCTTCTGGCAAAGGCAATGCCTTTGGCCATTCCTTCTGGCTGGCTCAGTGCCCGCTTCGTATCTGCTGGATGCAGACCCTGTACTTGGCCCAGTCCCCGTCTGGTCCATTGATCCAGGATGGAACAGCCTTGCCTTCCTATAGTGGGAATGGCTATTTCTCCTTCCCACTCTGTTCCTTCCTTTCCCTCTTTTCTTCCCAGAATTCCTTGGCCCACAGTTCCTATATGATATCCATCTTTTTTAGACCCCAACCTCATGGCTAAGCTTTTACAACCAACTGGGGCATTTCTCTCCGCTCAGAGAGAATTCTGAGATCTGAATTCTTTTTTTTCTCTCTCTCTCTATTGATTAAGGCATTACATATGTCTCCTTATCCTCCCATTTCCCCCCAACTCCCCCACTCATGTCCTCACCCCCATGGTGTCTATGTCCATTGTGAGATCTGGTTCTTTACACTTTTATATGCTAAGTGGGAGCTAAAGGAATTGAGGAAAACCCGACTTTTGAGCCATTGTCCTCCTACTGGGTCCTATTTTGGGGCCCAAAAGCTGATTATCACCTCTTGCTCTGTCCCTTGCAGACTTTCTAAAATAAATCCTAACCACCTGCAGGCAGGTGGATGTGTTGGGGCCATGGGAGCAAGAGGAAAAATATTAAAATATGTATATGTAAATATAAGCATAAATTCTCTTTTGTGTTGTTTTTGTAATTTTGTTAGTATTGTGTCACTTAACAGTGAAGTTGCTGACTCGTCGTTGTAAATAATGAGATGCATTTTTAACCTTTGCTGAGACACTTTTAAAGTTCCCTTTTACCATCAGAACAGAATTGGTTTTAGAATATTCAAATTTTAACGCATGGATCAAAGCTGACGCACTATTATAAGAAAGAGCATCCTCATCCATCACTTGTTTTATTCCCCCAGAACAAGTGCTTCCCCTGTCCAACTGGAGGCTGCCCACAGATGGGACATTATGCTGACAGATATGCTGAGAAAACTAAGGGAGTAGGCCAGACATTTTATCTAAACACGGGCGACGCCAGCTATTTTCCCCGTAAGTCTCTACTTGATTTGCCTTAAACGCTTCATGTTATGTATTTTATCATGCCCAGTGAAAATGCGCAAAATTGCTTTCCTGTACAGAAGTTTTAAACTCCCCTCCCCAACGTGGAAAAATAATCAAATGCTGTGCTCAGCCAATTTGGATAGTAGTACAGAGTTTGGGGGCTGAACTGTAAATGAAACAAAAAATTCTTCCTATTTGATCCTGGAGGTTGCTTCTGCCCCAGACCTTCACATTCAGTCAAAAGTTTCACTGAGCAAATTTCAGAGGTTTCGTACAAAGAGAAAAGTAATCCAGGCGAGGGATGGCAAGGTGGTGGGAATCGAAAGGAATGGACAGATTCAAGAGATATTTATGTTTAGGGTTGCAGACTGCGGGTGCTGGGACTTGGAGGATGTGTGGATGGTCACGTGCGGGGACAGACTCCAAGTTTCTCTTCTAGCTAATAAAGGAAGAAGACTATTTGGTTAGGAATCAAACTAGCTGCATTGTAAAAACTAAAGCAAATGTTATCCACTCCCCACCCCCAGCC